GTCTAGAGATTTTGGAATTTTCCCCACAAAGTTGTTCCCTTTCAAACTCAAGCCTTGAAGTTTCGGAAAGGACCCAAACCATAATGGGATCTCGCTTTGATTTATTGAACGAGAAATCGATGACTTTCAGTTGACGTAATTGACCAACTCATCAGGCGAGATCCGTAAAAACTGTTGTTTGTATTTGAGTTGCGAGGAAAGACATGTTCCCAGTTGAGGCGGGATGGTGCCCGTCAGACTCAAGAAGGAGATATCCAGCTACCCTCTCCGGTGACGGCGCCGCAAGTGACGCCGATCCAAGAACAAACAGAGCTACTTGTGGACCAATTGTTGGCCAAAGCCTTGGCAGGATCATGAGTTATATGGCCTTTCGTGCAGAAGAGCTTGCTGATCTGTGTAATATTATTGCTGGTTACTCTTGAAATAAGCGAAACACCATAAAACTGAAGTAGGAAACTGTCATAGTAATGGAACGAAGTCTCCTCATGAAAGTTCAGCAAGTATGGATTTTCTTTTGTTGTACACAAATAGCTAGTCAATGATGGGCTAATAAATAAACAATGGAAAAAATCCAACTCTTTTTGTCCCAATCATCTGGCCGGCTTCTCAGTCTCACTCCTGGTCACCAGCTCTGGAATTAATAATTATAAAAAGAGTAAACACTATTTCCCCCCAAGGTTTGCCTAATGACACTTTCCACCCAAAAGTTTCATAATACCAAATTACCACCCACAACTATTTCCTTTAGTAAATTTAGTTAAAAAGAGGTAAGATGGTCAAAAGTTTATATTAATGGATGGTTCATTTTAAAAAAAATAAAATTAAAATTGAAGCGGTGGGCTAGGCGTTGACAAGCGTCTAGCAGGTAGTTAAACTTAGAAGAAAAACAAAGAAACGATGCTTTTGCGTTTTTGGAAGCAAAACTTTTGGGTTTTGGCTGACGGCTTCACTGCATTCTGGTGATTGTTTACGGCAACGATGAGTGTTAATGACGGAGTAGACAGGGGGGTGGACTTGTGGTTGGCGATTTGGAGTTTGGGTTCGTTTACAGTGTGACAATATGGGGTTGTTATTAGAGAGTTTTTTTCGGCGAAGGACTTGTTTTTTTCGGTGAACGGCAAGTTCTTTGGTAGTGACATTGGTCACTGACTCAGACTTTTGACGTCTTCATCGTTGAGGCTAGTAACGATAGGGTTTCGTTTGCGAGTGGTTAAACTTGTGGAGGACTGGAGATGGTCCTTTGCCTTTGTTGGTTTCGTTTATTGTAGGTTGTATGGAACAAAATGTGTTTTTGTTTTGTTGTTTTCGTTTGCAAATGGGTTAGTGACAGGAGATTTGTTGTTGTTTTCGTGTACATAGGGTTAGTGCTTTATGATTCTCATATACATTTTAGGTTCTTGCTAGTATGAGATCAAGTCACAAAATGTTGTTATGTCCTGCTGCATATAGAAATTTCACAATGTCTCAGAAGGAAAAAACTTTGGATGAGCTGGTGCAGGACAATGCCTTTTTACACAAAAGCTGTAAAAGGACTTGGTGTCAGGTCTTGCCTTGATTTGCGGAGTTGGTTCCCCATCTGGATGTTCCTTCCTGTGAATGTGCAATGAAATTGTACTGAAGGTTGTATTCAATTGTTTCTTTGCCGCTCTACTTTCCAGATCTTATTGATGTTTGTTTAGTGCAAAGTTTTATTTTTAATTTGATTAGTCCAATGATTATTTTATCCACTTAGCTTATCGATACCCTTAAAGGAGGTTCTTTAGGCTGTTCTTGTGCTTTATCGGAAAACATAATTGAGTTTGTAATGTTCCAACTATATAGCTTTTATACGGGTTAGTTAGTTGGAGTGTAATATATTTAAGATATGCTCATATGCATAGTATCAAAGATAAAATGTATATATATGAGGATCCTTTTGTGTATAATTTGCTTATCAAACGGTAAAGATATCCGAGTGAGAGAGGTTTTATCTTTGGAGGTTAAAATAGTGATGATAGAGAAAATTTTTGTGTTTGAACTCGACTTTGGGTAGTACCAAAATATTAACTTTAGGTGAGAAAGTATTTTTTTGGGGGAAAGTGTTATTAAGCCAAACCTGGTTGGGAAAAAGTGGTTTAGTGTTATTAATTTGGCGGGTAGCACATTACTGAAGTTGTACGCCTCCCTGGACGACGTGAGAGCTGATGCAAAAAGGGAAACTTAAGTATCTGTCAATGCGAATGAATGAATGTAGACGACAATGGGGATAGATTCGTTTATTGAAATTTGATATGAAATGGGAATATTCAGTTTTAATTTTGCAACTGGGGCTCCTCCTTTTCTTGATTCCAATTTCTCCGTTATCCATAGCACTCCTCTTCTTCTTATCTCTTTATCTTATCATACCTTCATACTTGGAGAAGATGGTCCATCTTCTACAAATTTCAAAATTGACGCCTACGTGATTGTGACAAATTCATTTTTATAGCTTGAATGATTTGATACATCATAACCTTTTGGTATTAGCTCAAAGTTACTCTAATTTTCACCAGTCTACTAACTACATTTTTCATGTCGATCCTGTTCTCAGGTAAATCTGCTGTGCAATCCATGGCCAAATTTAAGATACATAACAAACATTCTTCCCTTGAAGAGAAGTCCATCTCCTCTCTGCTTGCCAAATCTCTGTCCACAACTTCAATAATGGAGTTATCTGACAATGACTCACCAATCCAACTCCTCAAGCACGTTTCTCCATCGAATATTTCGTCAGTTGGCCTCTTTCTTGTGAATGTTTCCATTAGTAAAATACCATAGCTGTAAACATCACATTTTCTTGACACTTTTCCTTCTCTTCCGTACTCTGCGGATGACACAACAAATTAATAAACCAATAATGGCAGAGAAAATTAAGCAAGAACAGATTAAACTACACAAACCTGGTGCCATGTAGCCAATTGTGCCAAGGGTTTGAGTAATTTGCATCACAGACTTTTCTTCATCTAAGAGTTTCGCAATGCCAAAATCACTGAGATGTGCAACCATATTTTCGTCTAACAATATATTGCTGGGTTTTAAGTCACAATGAAGTATGGGAGTTGAATAATCAAAATGGAGATATTCCAATGCTGAAGCAACGTCTATCATGATGTTCAACCTTTGAGAAAAATCCAAGAAATAGTTGTTAGAATACAAGCATTTCTCCAGGCTTCCGTTAGGCATGTACTCTAGCACCAGTGCTTTAAAATCTTTGTTTGAACAAGTGCTGATGATTTTGACGGGTTTCGATGACGATTACTTCACATTCACTGTCAAAACTCTTAAACGCTTCTTCAAGTTGTTGGTGAAACACCTTTATTGCAATCTCCATACCATTGGAAAGTCTTCCTTTGTAAACTGAACCAAAACTCCCAATGCCAAGTAGGTTACTTTCGCAAAATCCATCCGTTGCTTGCAGAAGTTCTTGGTAAGAAAATCTTCTCCATAGCGGTTGGAGTGAAGTATCGGCATCATTGGGCAGCTTTCTGATCCTTGTTCGATACCATAGCAACCCAATTATGAGAGCCAAGACGATTATTGTTAGCACAATGCTCAATGGCAAAACAATTCGTAGAAGAACTATTCTTGTCCTTGATTTCCCAAGAGTGCTAGTTTTGCACGGTGGGACTTGAAATTGGGTTGAACCGCACAATGCCAAATTCCCTATGAATGATTCAGCTGAGAAGTTTGCAAATGATCCTCCTTCAGGAATCTGTCCTCGTAGTTTGTTGAAGGAGAAATTCAGATATTTGAGATAGATGAGTGCCTCTAATGACACGGGAATAACCCCAATGAGATTATTGTTGGACAAATCCAAGAACTTCAAGTTGGTTAAGCTGCCAAATGATTCAGGAATCGGGCCTTCTAATGTATTATATCTTAAGGAGAGTGATTGCAGATCTTTCAGACCTCCAATAGTGGTTGGTATGCCACCTGATAAATGATTCCTGGATAAATCTATTGTTGCCGCAACTTTCAAACTTCCAATATCTAATGGAAGAGAACCATTCAGAGAATTTGACGACAAGTTAATGAACAACATGTCTTTAAGATTCCACAACGTGGAGGGTATAATGGAAGTTAACATATTGGATGTTAAAGAGAGACGTCTTATCGAAGTGAGATTACCTACACATGCAGGTATAGATCCGGAAAACTTATTATTGCCTAAGAACAAATCAGCCAGTCTAACCAATTGACAAAGGTCATCGGGGATGGTTCCTTCTAGATTGTTATTTTGAATTCTCAAACCTTGGAGTTTTTGCAATCGACCAAATGTAGTTGGCGTTGATCCATTGAATTCATTGTGGTCTAAATATAAAGCTATTAAGTTTTTTAAGTTGCCAATTTCTTCAGGAATGTTGCCTCTAATATTGCAGTCGCCCATCTCTAAATACTCCAAGGAAACAGAAAGATTTCCTATGGACCTGGGAAGGATACCATTGAGTGGATTGATGGATAATATTAGTTTTCTTAAATTCTGACAATTTGTCAAAGAAGAAATGAAACTCAAACCTGGATCAGAAGATGTCAAGGCATTATCAGGTAAGTATAGGCTTAGAAGACTCCTTAAGTCACCAATTTTGTCAGGAATAGAGCCTGAGAAAAAATTTCTACCCAGGTCTATCATAGACAGCCTAGACATATTAGAGATGGATGCAGGAATTGTGCCGGTAAAATCATTGCCCGCCAAATAAAATCTCTCAAGTTCTGGAATTCCAGAGCCTATGGTTGATGGAAGATTTCCTGAGAGTTTATTCCCATCAAGGGCAAGTTCTTTCACTGTTGACATATTGAAGATTGAAGCCGGAAAAAGGCCACTGTGGTTGTTACTTGGAAGCCCCAAAACTTCAAGTGTACGTAGATTACCGATTTCATCAGGTATCTCACCTGCAATAATATGCGAGAAAAATATTTGAGCAATTCAAAATTTGTTTGTTTATGTTAATAAGCTTTAGGATCGAAGTACCTTACCTCCGAGTTTGTTATAGCCAAGAAGTATCCATTTAAGCTCAGTCATGTTCCCAATTTCTTTCGGTATGGCTCCGGTAAAATAATTGTACGACAAGGACAAATATTGGAGTTGTTTGCACTTAGACAAAGTGGCCGGTATTTCGCCGTCAAACTTGTTTATTGACAAGAGAAACAATTCCAAACTCGGAAGGTGATCGAAATAGCCGCCGGGACTTCTCCTGATAATCCATTCTGAACGAAATCAAGACTTTGTAATGAAAGCATGTTGAAAAAGATGGAAGGGAAGGAACCAGACAGCTGATTATCACTGAGATCGATCTTTTGCAGTGAAGAAACGTTGAAGATGGAAGAGGGAATGCTGCCTGAAAGCTGGTTTTTACTAAGATCAAGCATTAGCAGTGAAGTTACGTTGTCTAGAGATTTTGGAATTTTCCCCACAAAGTTGTTCCCTTTCAAACTCAAGCCTTGAAGTTTCGGAAAGGACCCAAACCATAATGGGATCTCGCTGTTGAAGTTATTGAACGAGAAATCGATGACTTTCAGTTGACGTAATTGAGCCAACTCATCAGGCAGAGATCCGTAAAAACTGTTGTTTGTAATTTTGACTTTTGCGAGGAAAGACATGGTTCCCAGTTGAGGCGGGATGGTGCCCGTCAGACTCAAGAAGGAGATATCCAGGGCTACCACTCTCCGGTGACGGGCGCCGCAAGTGACGCCGATCCAAGAACAAACAGAGCTACTTGTGGACCAATTGTTGGCCAAAGCCTTGGCAGGATCATGAGTTATATGGCCTTTCAGTGCAAGAAGAGCTTGCTGATCTGTGGTAATATTATTGCTGGTTACTCTTGAAATAAGCAGAAACACCATAAAACTGAAGTGAGGAAACTGTCATAGTAATGGAAGAACGAAGTCTCCTCATGAAAGTTCAGCAAGTATGGATTTTCTTTTGTTGTAACACAAATAAGCTAGTCAATGATGGGCTTAAATAAACAATGAAGAGACTGATATGGAAAAAAATCCAACTCTTTTTGTCCCAATCATCTGGCCGGCTTTCTCAGTCTCACTCACTGGTCACCAGCTCTGGAATTAATTAATTATAAAAAGAGTAAACACTTATTTCCCACCCAAGGTTTGCCCTAATGACACTTTCCCGCCCAAAAAGTTTCATAATACCAAATTACCACCCACAACTTATTTCCGTTAGTAAATTTAGTTATAAAGAAGGGTAAGATGGTCAAAAGTCATTTATAATTAATGGTAGGATGGTCATTTTATTTTTAAATAAAATTTAAAATTGAAGCGGTGGGCTAAGGCGTTGACAAGCGTCCAGGCCAGGGTAGTTGAACTTAGAAAGAAAAACAAAAGAAACGATGTCTTTTGCGTTTTTTGGAAGCAACGACATTTGGGTTTTGGCTGACGGCTTCCACTGCATTCTGGTGATTGTTTACGGCGACCGATGAGTGTTAATGACGAGGTAGACAAGGGGGGTGGACTTGTGGTTGGCGATTTTGGAGCTTTGGGTTCGTTTACAATGTTGACCATCATGGGGTTGTTATTAGAGAGTTTTTTCGGCGAAGGACTTGTTTTTTCGGTGAACGGCAAGTTCTTTGGTTAGTGACAGTTGGTCTACTGACTCACGACTTTTGACGTCGTTCATCGTTGAGGCTAGTAACGATAGGGTTTGCGTTTGCGAGTGGTTGAACTTGTGGAGGACTGGAGATAGTCCCTTTGTTGGTTTCGTTTATTGTAGGTTGTATGGGAACAAAATGTGTTTTTTGTTTTGTTGTTTTCGTTTGCAAATGGGTTAGTGACAGGAAGATTTGTTTGTTGTTTTCGTGTACATAGGGTTAGTGCTTTATGATTCTCATTGTACATTTTCAGGTTCTTGCTAGTATGGGATCACGGTCACAAAATGTTGTTTATGTCCCTGCTACATTAAGAAATTTCACAATGTCTCAAAAGGAAAAAACTTTGGATGAGCTGGTGCAGGACAAGTGCCTTTGTTACACAGAAGCTGGTAAAACAGGACTTGGTGTCAGGTCTTGCCTTGATTTGCCGAGTTGGTTCTGCAATCTGGATGTTCCTTCCTGTGAAGTGTCCAGTGAAGTTGTACTGAAGGTTGTATTCAATTGTTTCTTTGCCGCTCTACTTTCCAGATCTTATTGATGTTTGTTTAGTGCAAAGTTTTATTTTTATTTTTAATTTGATTAGTCCATATGATTATTTTATCCACTTAGCTTATCGATACCCTTAAAGGAAGTTCTTTCTAGGCTGTTCTTGGTGCTTTATCGGAAAACATAATTAAGTTTGTAACGCTTCCAACTAGTATAGCTTTTATACGGGTTAGTTAGTTGGAGGTTAAGATATATCTAAAGATATGCTCATATGCATAGTATCAAAGATAAAATGTAATATGAGGATCCTTTTGATTGTATAATTTGCTTATCAAACGGTAAATCAGTAAATCACAATGCAAAATTGTTGTAGAGTGTAGACATTAATTGTTATTAAAGTTGTATCATTTGTTCCAAGCTGCACTCGTTTTGGTAGAGGTGAATTTGAGGTGATTCTGAGTGAAAAATGGCTTGTTTTTTACTTGCTTTGGTTGGAATTTTTTTTTTTTTTTTTTTTTCTGTTGTGTAAAATTGGTTAATTATTTGTATACTATATGTATTATAAGTTTGTGAAAATTCTGAGACTAAGTTGTTGAGTTAATCTGTTTTAGGTCATAACCCTTGGAGATCATCAAGGTTTTAGAGTATAGGAAGCACCAGAATTAAAGCTTCATGTTCATTAACAACCATGTTTGTCACCCACCACAGATCGAATACTGGTCATATTTTTGCTCGATGAATATATCACTGATCATAAATTTATGGTGACATGTAAGGAGATGGAAACTTAATTGACTTTGATATTTTTTAATGAGATTTTTTACAATGACAATGAAGTGATTTTAACTCCATTTTGTGATTAAAACTTGCTTGTTTATTTACCTATATTGAAGATATTTGTATTGCATTCCCAATTGCTTTTTTTTTTTGGTTTCAATTCAAGGAATTATATTGTAATTTTCAAATCAGTACTCTTGCTAGGTTTTAATTGATAAAATTCATTATATAAATGTGAGCTTATTTTGCGACAAACACAGGGACAAAATAGTAATATTAACGACTCCGTTTGGTTCACTTTTTTGTATTTTTTAGAAAAGTTTTTTGAAAAAAGTTAAAGAAAGTTGAATTGGGCGGGTATTACGATGTAGGATTTAAAAATTAATAAAAATACCTCCTATGTTTGTTTATTTACTAAACACCCCTATAATAAAACTTTGAAAGTTAACAAAAACACCCCCAATCCACCCAGTGAATAATCACAGCTGGCCACCACCGCCGGAGGGTGGCTGGAGTCGCCGTATCGGCACATGGCCGGCTGGATCTTGCCGGTCGTGCACCGATATGTCCTTTGTCGGCTAGATCTATGGCTAGATCTGGCCATTGACGGCCAGATCTGGCCGCATTTGCTCGTCAACGATGGCCAAAGATACAGCCGTCGTTGATGGTCAACGACGACCACATGTTGGCCGTCATTGACGTCTGGTTACGGCCAAAGATGTGGCCGTCAACAGCCAGATCTTTTGCCTTAGATCTGGCCTTTTCCGGCTAGATCCACCGTGGATCTGGCCGAAAAAGGCTAGATCGGCGCACTACCGGCCAGATTCAGCCGGTAGTGCGCCATTATATCAGATTCCGGCCAACTTCCGGCAGTGGTGGCTGGAATCTGGTATAATGTAGGTTTAGGAGTGTTTTTGTAATTTTGAAAAAAAAATTTAAGGGTATTTAATTAAAATAACAAATTTAGGAGGTTTAAAAAAAGTTAAATAATATTGGATAATATTATGAGTTTTTGGGCATTTTACGGTTTACCTTTTTTGGGAATACTAATAATAGTATTCCCAAAAACCAACCAAACGGAGCCAACTACTTCAAAATTTTAAAATCTCAACTGTTATTGATTGATTTTAGCATTAGGGACAAATTAGTAATTTTTACAAATAGTTGGGGGTATTGAATTACACAATTAAAAAGGGTATTATGGTAATTGGCTGCATATACTAATAAAAAATTTTCCAGTCAAACTGTTAAGAGCATTTCCGTCTTCACAGTTAAAATCAATGTATTTAACGGAATTTACTAATGGAGCATGACCTTTGGGTGGTAATTTAGTATTATGAAACTTTTTGGGCGAGAAAGTGACATTAAGGCAATTCTTGGGTGGGAAATAGTCGTTTACTCTCTATAAGAAATATTTACTATCTCAAGTCTAAATTTAGTTCTTAATTAATGGTTTGGTGTTAGTGTGGATGCGAAGAGAAGACCAATTAACTTGAAAATGTAATTGAAATGGATGCTAATAAAGACTTTCTATATTCAATTGGGAAAATATATAAAAAAGATTAAAATTGTTCTTGGTTACGATATCCCTTGCCGACCTGCATTCTAAATTTCTAATAAATGTGAAAATTAATCAAACTGATAAAAGGATTTGGACTTAATCACTAGACTACAAAGGATGTCCTTATAATTAAAACTTTTGACTTGGTTGGTTATCATTCATGTATTGCCAAAGAAATAGCAATGTTATAGTTACCGAATAATGCGTATTGAATTTATGTATTGAATGACCTGATATTATCATATTTTCTTAAAAGAAATTTATAATTAATCAATGATCAAGATAACGTTACATCATTCGATGCATGAATTCGATGTACATTCTTCGATAACTGTATTATTTTCCTTAAGAAAAATCGACTCCAGATTAGTTGAGTTTTTGTATAAAATGGAAGAGGAGTGAGGACGCAATATCATAATAGTGACAAATATTATTTATATAATATATGTTATCAAAGATTTTATCTTATAAATTATAAATAATTAAATTACCTTTCAATTCACACTGTTACCAAAGACATTTGTTTCCTTATTAAGAAATTGCTGACTGTAATACGTTAATTAAAGGGTAGACTTGGAATTTTCTATTTTCTGTTTTATTAGTTATTAACAAATTTAGAACATCACATTTTTTACGGCTAAAATAGGCGGAGATCATGTTAGTTTACGAGAATCTGAAATTTGATTTCACAACCCTAACAAAATTCATCTGCCTTAAACCCTGGGAAATAAAAAATGGCAGCTTCACTGTTAATTAAAACCCTAAGATCCATAAACAACCCTAATCCCATTAAAGCTCTCGCCGGTTCTTCTATTCGCCACCTCTGCTCCGTCGCACAAGCTGAGCAATCCGATGATTCATCTTCTTCCTTTACCTTCTCCCCCTCCTCCAGTGGAAATAATGACGAAATCTACATTAAGGGGCCTAAGCAAGAGACGGCTTCTGTGACTATGCCCATGTCGTTTATGACGGGGTCGATTGCGGGCAAGAGGTTTTATGAGCAAGTGAGTACTAGAGAGGCTGATGATGGGAATGGATGGACGGTGATGCTCGATTATCGGACTCTGAAGACTCCATCAAAGAGGCCTCTTAAGCTCCCGACTTTGGCCTTAGCTAAGGCCGTTGGTGCTGAGTGGGAATATCAGGTGTGTTTCTATCTTCATTTCTTGTTTATATGTCACACTGAAGTAGGATTTTATTTATTTATTTATTTTTATTTTTTTATGTGCTTATGTTGTTGAAGTTGTGTAATCAAGTGTTAATTATTGTAGCAAATAGATGGGGTTAGACCCTTCACCATGCCACTCATGAAACTTGCGTGTACTGCCCTGGAGAGAGTTCCTCTAACTCGCCCAAAAATCATTGACCATTTGATGAAGAAATTTAATCAAGATTTAGTCTTTTGCCGCGCTCCTGATGATAATGATCTCACAAGTGTTGTTCATGGTAGGACGTTTATGTGCCTACTGATTAATTTCATATAAATCATTATTTTGCATCTTTGATTTTGTTAAGAACACTGAACTATTATCATATATTTATGCAAAATATAGCAGATTCTTTATTGCAATTACTTGTCATATTATAGTTTTTTTTTTTTTTTTTTTTTATAGTTTTTTTTTTTTTTTTTTTAAAATCTGAAATTCATTCTCAACGTATAATTTGCTTTATATCCATTGATTTGCCAAGCTAAGAATTTGAATTCTACAAGCAAAATCACTTTCGATTTGCAATATGACTCTGCCTTTACTTATATATGGAATGAGTTCTTATTAGTTTTCCATATGTGGTTTGGTCTCTGAACTATTTGTGAGGGTCAAGCATCTCTATTAATTGATGGAGTAGCGTCCACATTTTCCTGTTTTATAAGATGAAATTCATAATTTAGTCTCTTGCATGATATTTATATGAGATGGGCTGGTTTTAAGATATTAGTATATGGATTGATTACGTTAGGGTGGATATTTACCTTACCAGCTCCTTCAAATCTTTGCAGAACGTCAGGTGGAAAAAATTGATCCTTTGCTTAATTGGCTAGAATCAGAATTTGGCTTTAAGCCTGTTGTGTACTCAAGCTTTTTTGGTGGAAAGCAAGAGGATGGTCTTATAAAGGCTGTAGAAAACCTTCTGAAGAAAACAGATGACTGTGAATTGGCAGCAATTGATGCAATTACTGCAGCAGCACATTCTTTAACAATTGCTATTGGAATTTTTCGTGGAAAGTTGCAGATTGAGGAAGCAATTGAGTTAATCAGACTTGAGGAAGATTTACAGGTGCTTGTTAACTGAGTTACTTTTTCCTCTCTTTCTTCTCTCTCTCTCTCTCTCTCTCTCTCTCACACACACACATAGACACTCACATAGAGGCACAGACATTTTGAACCTTGTTTCAACAAATATGTTTAATGTGTTAACATTTCTCATCTAATTTCAACTTGTTCTTCTGAAGCCTTCTCTTTTTTCTTTGTAGGTTGACAGATGGGGTCTGGTTGAAGGTGGGCACGATGTCGATATTGCTGATCTCAGGGTGCAAATCTCATCAGCTGTTGTATTCCTTGGCCTTTCAAGGAGGATTTAATTTCTGTGCATCCATTTCTCTCTTTTAAATTATAATTCAAGAGCTAGTGTTTGGCTACTATTACTCTGTTGTACATCTAGAACTCGGCTTACGACACTATAAAATTTTGTGAGAGTTTGTTGTGCGGTTGATGGAATAATTGATTGTGGAGGTAGGCACTCAGAGAGAAGCCTTATGCTAAATAACAGAAAATTCATGGTACAAGGTTTTGCTTTTCGTCGAGGCCATAGGAAAATATACTATAATCTTTTTGGTTCAGTTCATGGATGCACCAGGTCAAGTACAAGTGATGCCTGGCAAAAACTCTGTAATACCATGAATGCAATTTGTGCTACTTTGGATGCTAATTTAATTTAGGCATTCATCAGAATATCAATGGTCAATGCTAGCAGTGATCAGTGCATGTTTGAAAAATTGAATTTAGTTTAAAAATTTATAATTCTTTTGGCCTTAGAATGTTGATGATTATGGTTGATGTACAGCATTCATGCTGCATACATTTTGAGAAATACAGTGCTTCATTTTTATCACTTCTGTGTTGTGCTAGGACAAAGGGTTTCTGTAAAGCGTTGAGGAATAGTCCACACCTTTTATAGAACATACAGAAGATTAATGGATGAATTATCATGAAACACCTTTGTTGTATTTGGATGAACTAATCACGATTCACTAAGTAAATTTGAGTAGTTTTGCAACTTTTGCTCATCCTATATAGTTATTTGATTTACATTTTGAAATCAATCCTCTATTTACTTTGGCTGGGAATTTTTGTCATGTATTTGTTATTTGCATAAAGCAGTGCATAAGGAGTTGTGTTGATCAATAGCAACGGCATATGAGCAGCAAACAGTACTCGGTTATGCAGGTTCACCAATCTCGCACTCATTCTGAATCTTGAAACTTTTTTGTTATATTTTCTCATCATTTTGGTGGTTGTGTTACTGTCCAACTGCCATTTCCTTTCTGTTTCCTAGATAAATACCGCTTTGCATCTTAATAAGCATAAAAAATTCGGTTGAAGCTTCCATGAAAACAACTTTCAACAGTAGTTCCATGATAACAGCACTAGTGAAAGTTCAATATCTCTAATGATCAGTTAATTTTCTTTCACGAGGAGGCCTTGATGTTGCCCAGTTAGTTATGCGATGTATCTTTAAAATCAAGTCTCGGTTCCTAAAACTAAAAGCTTGCATGGCAGCAACTCAAGGCTCCTCCTGGCAGCATAGCTCGCACAGTGGTGGCTGTTTCTCGATGTTGCAGGAGCAACAAGTGGTATCGCAGTCATTGTTGCACCCTGCACAACAAAATTGTTTGTTATTATCAGTTTGTCTTACATATCATGGTATCTTAGTTACATTTGTGTCTTCATATAAGCGTTTTAGTTGCATCACCTATTACAGTAACGTATTGAGAGTGCTCAAGGTTTTGAGGGTTCTTTTGAAAAGAAAGACGACTGCTCCCTTCAACAAAACTGGTGTCAACTTCTGTAGAAATCAAGAAGACAAAAAACCAAGCTAATGCCATCAATTTCTTCATCATTATAGCGGTACTGATCAATGTGATGATAACCAAACAATCGGCTGCCAGGTGAAGGAAGGTGAGGTTTCCCTGTTATTTAGAGGCCATTTATACAGGCTTGTATAGCAATGGTTCCTTGCTCAAGTGAAGGATATGAAAGACCTAACCAAATACGAAATGTTTCTAAACTATAGATATCCATTTGCTTATGAATTTATGAATGGTTCATTCCATAACTGCTTGAATGCAGGATTTTATTTCTGCTGTGTGTAAATTGTCTCCTTCCTTTTTAAAGATACAATATGAATCATCCCATTCATATGAGCTGAGAATGTTTTATTAAACAAGTGATTATCCTCAACAATATCATAGGTCACTTCATCACAAATTACACCTTGCACTTTGCTAGCGTTATACATTTTCTAGTTCAGGGTGATCAGACGACTTCAGAAGTGGCTCTGAAACCTCTTTCTTGAGTTCAGGAGCGACTACTGCTGCTTGCTTGGCCGGATATAACAAATAATGTTGACACATGAATACAAGGTCAAATGATACAGACACCTGCAAAACGTGTTATACCAAAATCAATGCAACATAAAGAACGATTAGAGGACAGAATTTACTCAGTAAAAATGAATAAATAATCTCGAATAGAAAGTTCAATCAGAAGGAAAGTGAACATTTCATACCAAAGATAACAATGTCTTCCCTAGATTTCCATAGAAGTTAACCCAAGAATCTGCGAAAAATGATGAGATTGACATTAACATTAGGCAAAAACATGATGCCGGGATGAAAGTTATTCAGTTGGGAAGAGATTGCATACTTTGATCAATAGACTGCACAATCATCTGAGTATAACTTGTACACCCTCCAGAAAAATCAAAAAATACATATCCAATGCTGAATCCATCTGTGTTCTTTCGCCTAAAGTTCATCACCACCTGTATTATGTAACATAAATTATAAATATTTATAGGTGGTCAGTGGCTACACCAGCAATTAATTTCAGCATAATAATCAAAATACCATTACAAACACTATGCATCTACACAAAACAAATTTTCTTTGAATCACAGTGCTGAAAAATTGTAAAGAACAGAATCATTAGCAATCACATCAAATGAAAAAAAAATAACTAGAAGATTTAATTGGGGAATAAAAAATGTACAGTTGCTGGCGGGATATGAAGGGGAAATCTGATCAGATTATGGTGACAAAGATTAAGACCTGAACATAACTGAGACCATTCATTTGAGACATACGACAGTTGAACCAGATGGCGAAATTTCAATTTACAATTCCTTCCATTGCTAATCTCTCCATGCTAACTTCAAAGTTGTGAACTAAAATGCAATATGATTTACAATGGACTGATTCAAATTTCCGTAGGTTGCCAAAACCTTAAGTTTATATGGATAATCAAACAATTGAAATGATAGACTTTGCCCTTTTGGACTTCATTAGCACATAAAATTATTATGCATCAATGAGGACAATCATTAAAAAAAGTAATTCTAGCAATTCTCTAATATTGAAAGTTCAGCGTAAAAGAGACTTTCACCTGGGGAGTATACTTGATGAGTGTCATAAACACTTGAATTGAGCTGAAACAATATTGGAAGTCACAAAATATTAGAATACATTCAATGAGTACCATAAGAACTTCAACTGAGCTAAGAAAAATTAAATTTGCAAGGAATTCAGAAAGTTTATCCATTCCAGCAATGTAATACAGAACTATAGAAAAGACCTTAACTATGCTATTGAAATAAATTTTATAAATTAAATGCATCAAGTTATTTTTAAGAAACTTTTCACTCACTGGGAATACAAAAGGAAACAAGAGTTCCAGTTGTGCAATGAGGATAATTAGGGTAGTGCAGAAGCCAGTTTTTTGCAGCTACCCACTCCCAAATTACCAGCCAACCCCTATTTCAACTCCTATTCCGACCTCCTGCACCTCAGAAGGAAAAATAGAGGGAAAAAAAATGGTGAGACTTCAGTATAGAGAATGGCATTTATCTAAGAAAGCATTGCTCTGGCAGGTATATTAAGGCTCAGCAGCATTTACCAGCACGCTTTTCAGGTCGTCCAAGAATAAAATTCAAACTACTATCAACCTAAGAACCAGCGTTCTATGTCACAGCAAGATTGTCCTCATACCAGTCTTAAAGAAAGAATTTCTATGGGCTATGGGTGTGAGTGCCTAAGTTCCTTCATAAAAGTGGTGGTATATAAAGAGTTATCAGCTACCAAAAGCAATAGACTGGCTTGTTAATGTCTTAAAGCATTAGCATAAACCAAGAAGTTTAATCACGTTTCTAGCCACATTGTGAGATCTCACGGATAGTATCCTTGTAAGAGGTGTTATATAAATGATAAATGGAGTATATCACATCCTGAAATAAAATTTCACTAATGGCTACAATGCACAATGTATACACCATTGCGCATGCATATTATCTTTGCATGATAATGTCCAATCCAAAGGTAGAAAACACTAAAACTAAAAGAGCAACTTACTTAAAGATGTTTATAAGCCAAAGCCAAGAATGGTTAGGCAGAGCTACAAAGAAACAAACTGCGGCAGATAACCATACAGCAGATACAATTGCTAGAGATATCCTAGAGACTTTTTGGACTCCACGCTGCACAAAATTTAAACCATCAATTACTCTAACATCTTAAGCATGTGGTGAACACCTCCCAAGCATCAATAATGATATGACCACAAATGAAGAATGAAATACTTACTTCATATATTGCAACTTGCAACAAGGTGGTCGCTGTCAATAGAACAGCATGTATAGAAAACGCCACATCGTTTGCAGCCACAGGAATCATCTGAAACAAGTAGAAACTAGCTTATTTTTTTATGAATACGCTATAATTTAGGAATTCTGAACACCTGAGAAACAGAGTAAACAAAGAAATGTTAAATTCTAAAAAGGGAAGAGAGAAACGAACCTGATTAAAGCCGTACTTCTGAAAGTACTGTTTCTGAATGGCGGGGCTAAAGTAGAGACAAACATTGTAGATCAAGTAGGAGGAGTGCTTCGTCAAATTAAGCACCACAAAATCAAAGTTCAAACCTACAACACTAAGAAATCAAATAACACTTGTTGATTACTGTTATTCTATTACAATGAAAAACACAATTTAATACAATTGAGCGGCAAAATGTTTACCTTTTGCGCCGGAAATTTAAGATGACTTGAGGGTAGAAACAGGCAGACCATGATAGGAACGAAACCCAACCAAAAATTTCGTAAGTGATTTCCAGCGGAATCGAATTCCACGAAGCCATTTCTATGTCCCTTGCTATCCTATTCTTCGCTCTTCATACTTAACCGGAGAGAAAGAGAAATAGACGGCCCCGATTCGCCGCAGACTCTTATAGTACATCCGGTCGTTAATTCGGTAGGTAGCGTTGTAGTCTTGCAGACGTCCTTTTCATATGATTCGATTTTTACTTTGTCTGTTGCGGTCCACGATGCTGATATATGATTATTTTAAGTTCAAGTTACGAAATTTTGACTGAAATACATTTAACTTTCTTTTTAACAAGAAAATTATTTTTATATTTACCGTTCTTTTGGCCTTCGAATGTCGATGATTACAGTTGATTTACAGCATCCATTTTGAGAAATGCAGTGCTTCAATTTTTATCACATTCTATTCTATCATCTATGATAATGGGTTTCTGTGAAGCATTGAGGAAGTGGAGAGTGCCCTCTCCTTTATAGCACATGCAGAAGATTAATGGATGAATTATGAAGAAATTTATGAAAACAGTTTGGTTAGATTTTGATGAAGTTGTTGCCATGAAAACGCCTTTTAACAGAAATTGTTCCATGATAAAGCTCCAGTGGAAGTGAAGTATCTCTAATGATCAGAGAGTCAGAGACCCCATTTTCTTGCACGAGAAGACGTTGATGTTCCCCAGTTAGTGATGCGAGTCACCTGTAAAATCAAGTTTGAGTTTCTAACAGCTTGCATGCCGGCAACTCAAGGCTCCTCCTGGCAGCAAAGCTCGCATTGTGGAGGTTGTTTCTGGATGTTACAGGAGCAACAAAAGCGGTATTGCAGTCATTGTTGCATCCTGCACAAGAAAATTGTTGGTTATTATCAGTTTGTCTTGCATATCATGGTTATCTTAATTACATTTGTGTCTTATGTAAGGGTTTTAGCTGCATCACCTATTACAGTAACGTATTGAGAGTGCTCAAGGTCTTGAGGGTTCCTTTGTTCGAACAAAATTGGTGTTAAATTGTGTAAAAATCAAGAAGACAAAAACGAAGCTAATCCCATTAATTTCTTCATTATTACAGCGGTATTAACCACTGATGATAAACAAAGAATCGGCTGCTGGGTGAAGCTAAGGTTTCCTCATTTGAAGCCATTTATATAGGCTTGTATAGTAGTTGTTCCTTGCTCGAGTGAAGGATATGAAATGCTTCTAAACTATAGATGTCCATTTTATAAATGCTAATTAATCATCCTAATCATATGACCTGAGATTGTTTCATTAAATAAATGATTACCCTCAAGAATCTCCTTTTTAAGGTTTGCGGAATACATAGGTGTCACTGGGTTTCTTTCCAATTCTGCAGAAGTTTGGTTTGAGGATTACAATTTATACAACCAGCCTATTTACATTTAGTCGTATTTTCCTTGCCTTTCCACATCTTACAGGCGTATAAATACATTAATATATTCTAGAAATCGGAAGAAAGGATCTGTAGCACTATAGGTACTATTCGCTCATTAACTGAAAAAATTGCTCAAAAAAATATAAAAAATTTCCCGCAATGTGGAATTGCAGAATTTGTTATAACATAAAACTATTTCTAATCACTCTGAACTACATTAAATCATTTGAGTGGTTTTAACTACAAAATGATTTCAACCTGATGATAAGATCAAGGTGGCTTATTTCTTCAGGATTGCTGAAAGTATTGGGTACTGTTTAACATAAGAATAAGATCTTAGTTCACTAAAAAGCAAAGGAATACTGAACAATTGAACAGCATATTGGTTCTTGTTTCATTCCAACCTGAAGGAATTAAAACATGAAAAAAGCATGGTAACTAATGGCATAGTGAACTGCTAGGTGTGAGGCAATTGGCTCATCCAAGAAAACAATCTGCAAAGCCCTAATTGCTTTGTGATAATTGACTATTCATTTGTATAGCTACCCCATCCCCACCTAGCAATACCTTCTAGTTAGCAAGAAAAAACAGTCAAATTGACGACATAAGCTGTAAAATGGGCAAAAAGTAAACACATCACATCCCGAGATAACATGCGCTCAGAAGTTCTATAAACATTTATTTAGAAAGAACGACAACCACCTTCAAATTTAATCCCAACAAAGTAAAAATGGGATACATGATACATCAATCTGCAAATTATTAACTGTAACAATTTAGTTGGCAGGTCATAGCAACCTTTCATAAAACCTGACACTTAAAGCAGAGACACCACCCTTTAGTGCTGAAGTGACTTGATATTTATAATCTGCTTCCCAGGATTCAAACCTTTGGGGCAGGCACGGGCACAATTCAAAATGGTATGGCAGCGGTACAGCTTAAACTCGTCATTGATTGCTTCCAATCGTTCTTTAGTGTATTCATCTCGGCTATCACTTATCCACCTGCACATTCAAACAGTAACACATGGCCACAAATTATATATATACTTCATCCTATATGCAGCATTATCAAAAGGCAAAGTAAAATACACAGACATCATAGTCCTATTTGGCTACTCCTATAAGTATTATGCATATAACCATAAAAAGAGAGTTCCAAAGGTCAAAATACTTATAAAAGTCGCGACAGATGTGATAGGCTCTTATGTTGAAGATAAATTTAGAAACGCACATTCAGTAAGCATCATTTCCACTATTATTTACAATCCACACAAGTTTAATCATTGTTTCACCATCCTATATGGAGACTGTATAAGGAAGCTGAAAAAAATAGAATAAAATGATACACACAACAAAACCACTGAATTTCATAGGTTCTAGGCCCCTCAATTATCAATTATGGACAAATAGAAGTAGAGATCTAAAATTGGAGATGGAGAGTCCCCAGATTCCCTTAAGAACACCACCTCCAACGCCAATCAAAATAGCCTGCATCCAAGCACAAACTTAATAACTTTGGAAGGGTCATATCAAAATGTGGACGGATGAACAAACTTTGAAAAGGCAAAAACAGAACAACTATGGCATAGTTCCATACTATAAGAAAGGCTTCATTCACAAGTAAAACGTTAATTAGTTGAGCTTTTTTACAAGAAATCAAGTCAATCATAATAGTTTTGCTAGAAAACTTTTAGGTTTCATTAAACTTGAGCTTCCTAGCAGTGCATCCAAACAATTAAATTGCTCAAACAAATCTCCCTTTTTTCCCATTCCAATGACATTAACAAACAGAAACTAACTCATCAACGGCTTCCAATCCAAAACTTTCATTAAATTAAAAGATTACCTATTAGCGTGGAGCAAAGCAGCCGGGCCGAGATAACTCTCAGGGTTCCACCAGTAGCTGGGACACGATGTGCTACAGCAAGCGCACAGTATACACTCATACATCCCATCCAACTTCGCCCTATCTTTCTTACTCTGCAGAATCTCTTTCCCCGGAACCTCCGGCGGATTCTTCCTCTTCAGCCATGGCTCAATGCTCTTATACTGGTTATAAAAGTTGGTCATATCAACCACCAAATCCTTAATCACAAACATGTGCGGTAACGGCGTGATCGTCGACTCGCCTACCGACGAGATCTTCGTCAAACACGCGAGGCCATTACAACCGTCGATGTTCATCGCGCAGGAGCCGCAGATACCTTCACGGCAAGAGCGGCGGAAAGTGAGCGTAGGATCGATCTCGTTCTTGATTTTGATGAGCGCGTCCAGGACCATGGGACCACAGTCCTTGAGATTGATATCGTACTCCTTAAGTTGAGGTTTCGAAGGCTGGTCGGGGTTCCAACGATAGATTTGAAACTTCTTCAGATTCGTCTCGCCACTGGCCTTCGGCTCAACCTTCTGCGCCTCCACTTCCGACGCGTGAAGCCGAGCGGCGACGTAGCGAGCAGACGGCGCCACTCTGGAAGCCGAAACCGCCCTCCGAATCAAACCGGTCGCCATTATTTTACGCAGCAGCTCCGACGAGAATGGGGAAATTTTGTAAAGTTGGGAGAAGAAACGAAGGGAGAAATGGTTTGACAGGTGAGTTTCTTGAAGGGAGTGAAATGACGAAAATGGATATTTATTAGTTATCGAGTGCCGTGGATTGGTGGGACAGTTCTTTGTTAGGATGATGACGTGGAGGATTGTGGGCCGATTCGTTGAGGATGGAAACGTGGTTTGACTGGGGATCAATGGTTTGATGTGGTATGGGGTGTTTTCAGTGTTTCCAATAGTTTCTAGGCGTGTGCTGACCATGGTTTGTGAGATATTTACGTGAGATTTATTTATTTAAGAATCAATTTAATGGAAAATGTTAAAATTATGTTACTAAAATTAAAACACTAATTGTGATTAATCTAAATATAGGCTTCCTAAATCCTAAGTGTAGAGTAGTAGCTAATTTAGGTGGTTTTAATCTTTACCATAGATATAAAAAAAATACTATAGGTTTTATTATAATGCGACATTAAATATGTTAATTCTGTTTTTAGACAGAAATATAATTTTATTAATTGGAATTATCCGGAGAGACATTGTGACATAGCTTAAATTTACTTGGAACTAGATTTGTTTGTTGACGTTCTGTTTGTATGTTTGAAAAACAGTTTGGATTACAGCTACGTGTCCTAATTATCTAATCCTAATCCTAATCCTAATCCTACATTTACCCCATAATACACACGGTATTAGCATTCATATTAATCTAAATAATAATATTCATTTAAGATTAAAATTAATAACCACCTATTCCCTCTCTCTGGTTGAGCCTTAATACTCGCTCTTTCTCTTCTTTCTGTTTTTTTTTACAAGCCTTATTTTATATTCTCTCTTTCGTTCTTTCTTCCCTTCTATTGTCTTTTCTCTCTCCGAAAGCTCCTCCTATTTCCATTAATGGCCGGGGTAAGCTTCTCCATCTGCAATCTCTTCTATGGTAATGGTATTAATGTTTATGTTATGAATTGTTTTTTCATTTGTTTCTTAATGTGAGTAAATTTTTTTTTTTCGTAAAAATGTACAGCAAGATAAGGGTCGGCCTTTGCCAAAATTCGGCGAGTGGGATGTGAATAATCCTGCATCAGCTGAAGGATTTACAGTCATATTTACTAAGGCTAGAGATGAGAAGAAATCAAGTGGTACAGCTGCATCGGCGACCAGGCCTCCATCACAAAGGAATATACCAAAACCTGAAGAATATCAGCATCCTCCATCGGTATGTATCACATTTCTTTCTGTAACAATCAAACCTGCATGCATTTCGTTTTCACTTTGTTTCTTCCATTGGGAATATGTTTGTGATTGATGATATATATAAGTTTTGGTTGCAGAAAAAATGGTTCTGCTGTTTCTGAAATTGGTAAAATGGCAATGGCTTTGGAGCTACAAATACACCCTAGTGGTATGAAGATTTTCATGTGTGCATGTGGGACTGCAATTGGGGAGATTTATGATGGATGAATTTTTTTTCTTTGTCCCTTCATTTTAGTATTTTATATTGTTTCCTTTTTTTCCAAATCCGTCCAGAAATCCCCATTCTCTGCATGTTTTATGTATAGGAAAGAAAGATGATTGCGAATAAGGGCGCTGCACTTTTCTTAGATGTACGTGTGTAGAATTCTTTGATGACTTAACTTTGTGTTTCAAACTCCAAGAATTCAAGAGTTTGTCGATTTTCTGTAATCGTGGCTTGAATGATTCTTGATCGTTTTTTTTTTTTTTTTTTGGTTTATTTTATAAAAGTGTTCATCAGTATAATTCATCTCAAGTAATTATTTAGTCTCTATGTCATTCTCAGTTTCACATTATGATACTCCTGCATTTCAAGTAAAATTATTATGACATGAACAGTTCCAACTTTTTTGGCTTATAATTAAGAGGAAATCAGTGGAGGAATTTCAGCCATATGCAACGTGTATGAACTGCATGTTCTGGATTCTATATGGTCCGCCTGTTGTTCATCCGGACAGCACTCTGGTCATCACCATCAGCCCTATTGGCCTTGTAATGGAGCTGATATATTTAGGAGACCTGGTAATCGGTAGCGTTGAGCCGTTTTCGCGCTGTGTCAAGAAAATTTATACCAAACCCGATTCGTTAGCTTACCGAGTTTAAATATAAAAACCCGAACCCAAACATTATTTTATCGTGTTACCCTAACCCAATCCATTAAAAGCTTTCCCCCCTTTTTTCTTTTTGTTATTTTTTTCTAATTAAACAATGAAATATAATATGATTGAATTCATATAATTAATTTTATGAGAGTGTTAAACTATATACCTAAACACATAAATAGAAAAATATATATAAAACTTCTTTACCATATAATTCCACATATTGTTATTAATATTTTTTTAAGGTACTAATAATATAAGAAAACTCAATACTAAAGTCTCATTCTAAAATTTCAATGTAGTATATAGAATATATGTTGTCCTTCCACTAAAGATTTATCATTGAAACCATATATAAATATTAAAATATTAAAAAAAATTACTTATTTTAAATTTATATATGATAACTAGGAAAGAAAAAATGGAACTTCTTTTTCTTACCTTTAGCAATAATAGAAATTAGGAAAAATAATAGAGCAATTAGGTTAAAAACTTAAAAAAAAAAAAAAAGAATAAATAATCAAAATATTACATCTTATTTATTGTAATTTTCAGCACTTTATTACTAAAATATATTTAATTAAAAAGTCAAACTAATCAAATTGTTCAAACAGATCAAACATTTTTTAATATTAAACCCGAACACAATCGTTATGAAACATGTTATTAACAGGTTGACCTATTGATGACCCAAACCAATAAAATCGAATCCAAACCTGCTTTTAACGAATGAGTTCGTGTCATGCTATCGAGCCGTGCCCAATTTTGCCAACCTTGTTCTATGATCATCAAAACAAAGGAAGGTTACTTGATGATCAGTATCAGTAATGATACATATTACACATGATTGTTGTAATACTTTCTCACAAATACTGTAGTATGATCCATTGTAGTTCAACACCATAAAAAGGCCAACTAGGGGTGGGATAATCCGGTTAACCGAACCAGATTATCAAAACCGAAAACCGAACCGGTTTTGGTTAAAAACCGAATGTAAACCGAACCAAATTTTCGGTTCGGTTACCGGTTAACTGGTTTTTTCAAATTATCTTTTAATCCTTAAAATTCTTCAATATTTCATTTAAGTCCCTAAATTCAAATATTTATTATTTTATATATAATTTCATACTATGTTTCTCTTTTATTTTATATTATTGTTGTATTATTTGTATGAAAAATACATTAAATTACTTATTTGCAGATACTAAATCCAGAATATGAAATAAAAACATAAAGAATTCAATTACACATTACTGAATAGTTAATATTCATTAATAAACTCAAATACATAACATAAAATTACAAAGTAAAAAAACTTAATATAACATAAATCATCTTCATCCCACAATGTTGGTGTTAGTGGAGTTTCTTGATTCCGCACTCCCCGGATTTGTTAATGGCACACGAAGAAGATCATCATCTGCAATTAACAACTATAAATATTAATAAATGAAAATAATAAAACATATGAAATATTATTTTCTCTATCCAATTTCTCTCTTTTCAACTTGATAAATATTAATAAATGTAAAATTAAAGGATTATTAATAATATTTGTTACATAAGCTCCTTAATTATGAGCTTTACATCTCTAATCCATATTTAACAGCCTTAATCTCTTCAAATGTAGAGTAGGGTTAACTTTACCAAAACCTAATCTAACAACAAAATTTCCAGAAAACCATCTCACAAAATCCCAAAATCAACAAACAAAAACCCCCAATTTCCTTCACGCCACACCACCATCACCACAATTCCTTCTAACAAGTGCAAAGTATCCCAAAACAGCACAAACAACAGCCACAACATTACCTTCCTTCACTAAAACAAACCCAGAAAGCAAAACAAGATTCACAAAATAACAAACAAAGAATACATAAAAATCAAGAGTCTGCTCACGGTGGAGTCTTCTCACGATGGGCCTGCTCACGATGGACTGTGAAGATCGCTGGAGAGTGGATGCAGTAGCTCACGGTGTGGATGGAGCAGCTCACAGTGTGGATGGAGTAGCTCTGTAGCTCACAGTGTGGAAGACTGGATTGTGAAGATAGCAGAGAAGATCGCTGGACTGTGAAGATCGCTGGAGAGTGGATGCAGCAGCAGTAGCTCACGGTGTGGATGGAGTCATGGTGTGGATGGACTATGGAGTAGCTCTGTAGCTCACGATGTGGAATAGGGAGATTTAACTAAGATTTGAAGGCTGAGTCGCGGAGAAGAGTCTGAACTGTATGTGAAGAGAAATAAAGAGGAGCCAAATTTTTATTTTGTTTTTATAGTTAGGGTAAAACCGGTTTGAAATAATTTTCAAACCAAACTGGTTTTCCGGTTTTTTGAATTCTACAAGCCGAAAACCGAACCGGTTTGTAAAAAAACCTAATTTTTGGTTCGGTTTCTGTTCAATTCAGTTTTCGGATTATTTATCCCACCCCTAAGGCCAAGGTATAGTAAAACCAACATAAGTTCAACACCCACAAAAGGCCAAAACCAACATAAGTTCAACAGGATAATTTTTAAAGCCCCTTTGATTAGTCATTTCTTCCCAACTTTTTCCCGCTCAGATTAAGAAATTACGATATAACCATTCTCTAAAGTATAGTGGTGAGCATGGATAAAGGGTAGAACTAGAATCGAGGTCTAAGTACCTGAGTAAGAACCGAGATTAAATTATAATTTTTGTAAATTATTAGGGGTGTATTTATAATTTTTTGAAGGTGTATTTACACTTTTCAAAAAAGAGGGGGTAATTAAAATTTACCTGGGTACCCAAAACCAGAATCGAAACCCATGTTTCAGGTTCTGGTTCTAGGAACTAGAACCGTCCAATTCTGATTTCGATTCTGGTTCCTAATCTTAGAAACTGGTTGGTTTCGATTTCAGTTTTGGTTTATTAAAAAAATGCAAGATACCCGGAACTTATCACCCCAACTAAAGTATACATCATGTCATGTTAGAAGTATGACTACCAACTTTTTCTTGACTATTTGACTATAGGTTGAAAACGTTTTAACCACCTGAATCAACCAATCATCTGATCATAAGTTGAAAAAAGTTTCTTGATCGGTTGAAAGGTAAAGATAGCATGATTGATAGGTTATGGGTCCTTTGGATCATGGGCCACAACTACTTGGGTAGAGACGGCTGAACATCATTTGGACAACCGGAGGTTATATGGGCTTAGGGCTTTTAATGGCTATTTGAAAGGGTTAACTTATTTTATATATAAGTAGTCAAACAAGATCGGATACAAGCAGGCAATGCTATAATTGATAGGAATACCCGATAACAGAGCCTTCCAATCGAAATTCTGATATCTGCATGCGTAAACATAGATATATAAGTTGATTTGTTAATTCACCCACAATTATTTAACAATTGGTTAAAGAAAAACAAGAAAATTTACCAAATGTTGCATATCACCACTCACCAAATCAATATTTTTGGTACGTAAAACACTGAGCGTTGGCAATAGATAACCCATATTATACGCTAAACTACTAACTAAATTAATGCAGGAATTCAAAATCATTACTAATTATTATCATATAACTTTATTCCACTTTGTCACACAATAAAGTTTATTCATCAACACTAAGATTTCTCAACTTTTTATTTTTTTATAAAACAATCATTAAATTATAAATAATTCTACCACTACGAAATTTCGCAATAATGTTTAAATTAAAAGTTGATTTGGTAAATGATATTTAAACGTTACATAAAATGACACATCAGTTGGAATATGGAAAATCACAAATTTCATTTGGGAAGTGTAAAATTATTCATAATCAAACTGAAACACAAGAAATAATATAATCAAACCAATACAACCACATCAAATAACATGGTCAAAGCAGATACGACCATCCCAATCATCTTGCCTACAAAATCGTCAGTGGTATATATATATGTATATCTACAAAATCGTCAGTGGTATATATATATATATATATCAAAACATTTTGAGAAGTAACAAGCAAACCCAAAATTTTGATAGACGTTAAAAAATACAAACCCAACATTTTGGTTTTTATCTCTATCCCCCCTGAGAGATTAGGAAGTACAAATACACCCAGGGTTTTTGCAAAAATATTATATATCTCCCAAGATTTCATTTACCCACATAAATTCGATTTACCACCTAATAAATTATCAAAAACCCCCCTGACAGATATAATACTTTTCGAAAACGATGGGGACATTTAATACTTCCTCATCGCCGGGGGGTGAGCATTATGATACCTCCAAACATTATTGATTTTCTCCTTAATTATCTCCATGATTTTCTTAATTGATTTGTTTATATAGTCTTGAGTTTAAAAACGAATTCACTCACAAACAAAGTAGAACTTAGATTAAGAACAAAAGCTTTCTACCAAGGGGCGGAACAAGAAAATAATTCCGGGAGGATGCGGGAAAATTCATCAATAAATAAATGCTTTTTAATATAATAAATTTTACCATTTTTTTTTGTTTTTTATATATATTTCGGAAAGGGTAGAAATGAAGACAGTACCCACATGATAAATTAAATTTATTATAACATTGTTAAAGAAGAGAAACAAAATTGTTCTTAAGAACTAGAAAAATGAAGATAGTGCTGTGTGTTTTCGATTTGTTTTGAACAAAGAACGATAGCAGATAAAGGTCTAATGATCGAACCAGGGAAAACAACTTAGAAACGAACATTCCATAGCATAAGTTACAGAACACAAAGTTTAAGATATTAATTAACTCAAGGGAGAAAGGGTCAGGGGAACAGTCAGGGTGCCGAATTACCTAGAAAGATTTCTTCTAAATCAGAGTCTCAGTTCCACCCAAAAAGCCATACGTTTTAGAGCCTGCAAAAGTAGAAGCATTGCAGCCAGAAATGTAAAACTTCATGCCTTAAAATGTAACAGGGCTAGAAAAATTATTTGTGGGAGCTCATAATGATAATTCCAATTGATAGTATGATGGACATTTGATATCAAAATTTCAAATGCCATAAACTAAAAGAACCTGAAGACAGAACAAATGTTAAATAAAATGGGGGGACTTACAGGTCACAGGGGCAGGCCAGTGTTACAGTGTACAAACAGATGATCCGGAAGATCTGCTTTTAGGATGGTGAAACTTGCAAGAAGATCCATATTTACAGTTTCCAGTTTTCATGAAGTAACTACACTCAGGTTGACCAGGCCGTTCAGGAAACTCTTCGATTTGTTGTTGATGATATCTGGAGACATTGGATGAATACAGTAGATTGTTATTCTCAGCAGGAACTGAATGAGTCAACCCAGTCCTTGCACCCTGGTACATTGATCCCTGGAAAGAAAGTTAACCATAAGAAACCATTTATGAAACTGAAGATGCAAGAGGTCATCTATAAACAAATCTCATAACACAAATCTTATGTACCAGAAATCTAGCTTGAGAGCCAAAACGCAACAGAGTGTGAGAAAGAGCACCACTTAGCTTTGGTTAACAATCAATCAACTTTGCCATGAATCTAGAAGTACTATATGTAACATTAAAGAGTCAACATAACAATGTTTCCTTTGATAAGAAGCTATAAATTGTTTTTTTAAAGGAAGGTATGAGTTACAAGGGACTCAAACAAAGTGTCAACATGAAAAACAGGCGTATGCAAACATAAAAGATGCTGGAGATCTATAGCGTTCTTCAGTAAAGAGAAAATATGTGGAAACAATAATCACTATGTGAAAATGAATAACTGGACCAAGATCACAGCTACCTGAGGCCTAATCCACTTAGAATCTGGATGTGTCCCACGGGAATGAGATGAGAGATTATCAAAGAAGGGAGCAGAGTTATGTAAAGTCAAATTCGAAGAACATAATTCCACAGCTGGTTCGGATTCCTTAATTAATTGCAATGAATTGGATAATCCATCATAGTTTCCAGAAGAATGACCTCCCAAAGATACTCCAGTAGGGCTTGAGTCAAATCCTCCAGCAGCAACAGGATCAGGATGGTGAAACTTGCAATTAACTCCATATGCACAAGAACCGTTGCGCATGTAATAAGGACACTCTTTCTCTAGCTGAAACAAAAAGGCAATTTATAGTTTACAACCAAAACATGTATATAATTTCAAAAACTTTGTCAAAGACACTAATAATGAAGCACTCAAAGGTAAAGACATTACCACTCGGATTGGCAGACCTAGAAAGTTAAGCTCCACAATTGCTGTATTGGGCTTTTTTATGTATGTACAAGACTTTTCTTTGGGGTGATTAAATTTACAAGCTTTTCCATATTTGCAGCCGCCAGCAGACAGGTAATACTGGAACAATCACAACACAGGTTTAATTCTTGATTCAACATGCAGTATAAAATATTACACTAAACAGAAAGAAGTTATTGCAAAGTGAAACAAAGAAACCTTAAAGAATACTTTTTAGACAACACTAGCCAAAATCATGAAAACCATATTTTTGTGACAGTTGGTAACAAAATTGATTTTATGTTTGCTCTTGGTGAGGATAGTAAAGATATTATTATCCAGAAACCCTTCTCAAGTTACAACTTACTACAGGGACAACATGATAAATGGTATCTGGTGTATATGTCTAATGTTCAAAGAATTTCTTTGAATATGGACAAGGTACCTTTCCTTCTCCGAAACAATTTTTATATAACAAGGCTTTCTAAACTCATATATCATCACCAAAAACAAAACTTGTACCACTCACCCCTCAACAGAAATAAATAATACAAATTATTCCCTTAAAAAGGAAATAAAAACGATAGAGATAAATACAACAAAAAACAAATGGAGCGTATGCAATGCTCAAACCTTGCATTCAATCTTCGTTGTCTTTTCCACAGAGCCTTCACTTTTGTTCTCCTTTTCCTTTAGACCATAAAGAAGGGGAGAAACGGAGGATCCGTTACAGCAAATACCAAGCATTAGCATTGAAAGAAAGCTTGTGCCATGTGAGTTGTCAGTGTGTGTGTGTGAGAGAGAGACAGAGAGAGAGAGAGTTGATCTTTCTCTCTATTAAAAGAACAAACTGCAAATAATTTGCAGGCTTCTTATATAACTACCAAATTGCACAAATCATCAACAATTTGTAATACTCTAATAAATTAACCAAGAAAAAGAAAAGCATAATATGTACTGATTTTATTGGCAAATCAAAAGCATTAATCTCTGATGGCTGTATCTTAGACTTTACTATGTTGTGGCTAAATCTACAAGCTTCTCCATTTTTGCACCCTCCTGTACTTCGGTAAAACTGCAACAATACAGCACATGTTAGTGATGGACCCAAGTTGTCTCAATGGTATAAAAGAAAGGGGTTAAAAAGGGCATTTGCTCAAGGTAACAGGTGGCAAAGTTAGTTAGAGGAGAATCTGAAAATGTCAGGAATAAAAGAGGGACGTGAGTGTGTAGAGGGATATTCAGGAAATTCATGTGGGTGTGTCTGGGAGGTACTGGCCCTCGGAGACCAGGTGTTATTTTGCTTATTTGGGTTGCTTGAGTCTTGTTGAGTTCACTGTTTTATTGAATATCAATATATATATTTCTTCATTTCCATTAATGCTTGTTAATCTGTTCTTGTATGTTTACTTGGCTGGATTGTTGTTGGGAAATTGTGTATATTGAGTTGTTGTGGTCACTTAAGGTGGTGAGCGTGGGTCTGTTGCATAACCAGTTTTCATCATAATTCAGTCTTGTTTCCAAGATGGATTAAAGTTCGATCTAAAGAGTTCTCCGTTTCCTTCTTAGATTTGGAACTTTCCTTTCGCTCTTTCTAGTCAGATTTAAGGCTCCAAGTATGATTTATGAACTTTGACTATAAAAACATATTTCAGTCTAGGTTGTACTGAAATGTACTTTAGAAAATAGTTTGAGTTTGCACCCACGTGGGCGAATAGCTGCTTATCTTGAATAATGTTTTTCCTTTTCCTTTTTCCAAGTTGGATTCCATTGGGACACTATTGCCATGATATAAATGCAATTATGTGATTTATTATTTATTGTTAGTCAGGTCTCTGAATAAATCTTTATAATTTTTTGCATTCTATTCTTTCTCAAGGATTGAATCCTGGAGTTGGTGGTCTTCCATTGAAGGGGTGGCCGTTAACTGTAAGTCTGATTTGATTTCATCTTTTCTTGAGATTCATTAGTCTATCTGGATGGTTGTTTTAAACCAAGGCTTTGCTGAATGATACAGGGCATTGACCAAATTCGACCAAATCTAGGTGCACAAGTTCAGAAACCTTTCCTACCAGGTGGAAATCAGTTTCAGCTTTTACCACAGCAGCAACAGCAGCTTCTAGCACAGGCCCAGGCACAGGGCAATCTTGGTAATTCAATTTATGGAGATATGGGAAGGTTTGGGGGATTACCTAGAGGCAGTTTAAATGCAAAAGATGGCCAACCAATAGCAAACGATGGATCTATAGGTTCGCCAATGCAATCAACTTCATCAAAAGTAAGAATTTCTTCCCAAGTCTGAATGTTATTTNCCGAGCAGACACTATCCTGGTTGTGGTTGACAGGCTGACGAAATACAACCACTTCATCCCCTTGCAACACCCCTTCTCGGCCAATGAAGTAGCTACTTTATTCATCAATGAAATTGTGAAGCTACACGGGTTCCCTCGCACTATTGTATCAGATCTTGATAAGGTTTTCATGAGTGTTTTCTGGGGGGAAATGTTCAAGCAATCTAGAACTCAGTTACACATGAGTACGGCATATCATCCGCAATCAGACGGGCAAACCGAGGTTGTAAATAAGTGCCTCGAAACTTATTTGAGATGTTTTGTGGGATAACAGCCACGTCAGTGGCCTAAATGGCTAAGTTGGGTGGAGTTTTGGTTTAATACCGCCTACAATCGATCTTCGGGAATGACACCCTTTAGAGCCCTCTATGGTCGTGATCCCCCAATACTTCTTCGATATGCTGAACATAGTTCCGTGGTTAAGGCAATTGACGAACAACTAACGGAACGCAATCTAATTTTGGATGAGTTAAACACCAACTTAGCCAAGGCACAGAATGCCATGAAACTGTATGCTGATGGGAAGAGGAGAGAAATTCATTTTGATATAGGGGACTTTGTGTATCTAAAGCTACAGCCTTACCGCCTTAGATCCTTAGGCCGCCGGAGCAATGAAAAACTCAGCCATTGGTTTTATGGACCCTTTCAAATAACTGAAAAAATTGGCCCGGTAGCTTATCGATTGCAATTACCCACCACAACCCGTATCCACCACGTCTTTCATGTATCCCAACTCAAGAAAATGTCTGCCCATCCTGTAGAAACCCAACCCCTCCCGAACTTCCTTGATAGTAACTTGGTATTGAATGTCGAACCTGAACAGGCCCTTCGAAAGCGTCAATTGTTGGATGGAAGCTATGAAGTTCTAATCAAATGGAAGACCTTACCACCTTGGGACAACACTTGGGAAAGCTATGAGTCTATTTGTAACCAATTCCCTTCCTTCCACCTTGAGGACAAGGTGGCACTTCTTGGGGAGAGTAATGATGGACCCAAGGTGTCTCAATGGTATAAAAGAAAGGGGTAAAAAAGGGCATTTGCTCAAGGTAACAGATAGCCGAGTTAGTTAGAGGAGAATCTGAAAATGTCAGGAATAAAAGAGGGACGTGAGTGTGTAGAGGGATATTCAAGAAATTCATGTGGGTGTGTCTGGGAGGTACTGGCCCTCAGAGACCAGGTGTTATTTTGCTTATTAGGGTTGCTTGAGTCTTGTTGAGTTCACTGTTTTATTGAATATCAATATATATATATTTCTTCATTTCCATTAATGCTTGTTAATCTGTTCTTGTATGTTTACTTGGCTGGATTGTTGTTGGGATATTGCGTATATTGAGTTGTTGTGGTGACTTAAGGTGGTGAGCGTGGGTCTGTAGCATAACTAGTTTTCATCAGTTAGCACAGATATAACAGCAAAACTTGTTTCAAATATCAATAAACTTGCAATAACATTAACGTATAGCTTCAATAACCATCATGGCAATTTCATTTCAAAACACAATAGCATCTTAAAAAGCCCTCATTATTAAAATGCCAACAACTAATTAAAGGAGGGTAAGGCATGCAGCAAATAGTGAAGTGATAACTTGATATAAGACTGTCATAATACAGTTAGAACTACAGATTCTAAATCATTAACATCATAGCAAACTAAATAAACTAAACCATTCATTATAATCCTAGATACTTTATAACAATGATATAATCCACAAAATTTACAAGTCGAACCGCCTACTGGCATAGTTTTCTTTCTATGCTGTTTCAAGATAGATGCCACTATGGTTCAATAGAATTTTAAAAAATAAAAATAAAAATAAAGAAGTAAAGTTATATCAACCAAATCAGTAGAGGTTACCACATTTACGGTTTTGCAGATGGAATATCAGTGGTACATAAATTTCTGAAGACAATGTGAAATATAGATCTTAGTTTCTACATCCAGGGCTCATTTCCTGTACTTACATTATATACATGTATCACAACTAAACCAAGTCATGCTTCAAGGACTTCCAATTCCTTATTTCTAATGCCCTTTTCCCAAGCTTCCCTTTTTCCACATCAAAACTAAATCTATTCAAATATTCATTCATCAAAAGATTAAAAAGTCAAATAGGTCCATCGAACAAAGGCAAACCAACAAAAAAGCACGTTTATCAGAAAAAAAAAAAAATTATATATATATATATATATTGTAGGGAGAACCAATACAATAAAGGTTGTAAAAGAAGCCCAAACCTTGCATTGAATCTGGCTTGGCTGCTCCACAAACCCTCCTCTTTCCTTCTCCTTGACCCCAAAAAGACCCACCATAAAAAATAAAATAAAAATTACATAAAATATCAAACTCAAAGACTCGAAAGAAAAACCACAAAACACACATTGTTACCTGAACCACTCTTCTTACAGGGTGATTAAACTTGCAATTAAAACCAAACTTGCAGAACCCAGTTCGAAGATAAAAGGGGCAATCTTCAGCATATGACCTTATTGGGTACTCATGCTTCGTCACTCCATCAAGGTTATCGCTTTCTTCGTAAATGCTGTGGTTTTCATTCAAGTCTACATTTTTCTGAAACCCTTTAATGAGAGCTTGTTCTTGGTCTCGTTCAGTGACAGAAAAATGTTCCAACTCTAGCAGCTGCTTCTCTGTTTGTGTTTGGTCTTGGTGTTTTGGGGACCAGCAGGACTCTTCTTCCCAACTTCCCACTGTCATTGTACTTTTGTATTTTCTGCCACCACCACCCACCGCTTTATAAATCTCTAAACAAATGCATAAAGAGAAGGTGCATCCTTCAATTTATTCACAATTTTTATTTTCGGGAAATGATCCCTTATCCAAAATATAAAAAAATTGTTTAAAAATTGGTGTTAATGATATTTTTTTTTGAATAATATTTAAAAAATGTAAAACCGAATTTAACTAAGTCATTTTTACGATAAAGATAATTATTAATATTTTAAATCAAATAAAATTGAATTGAATTTTGATAATATTAAAATAAATATATTTTTTGACTTTTAAAATAGAACAATGATATAAGATAGGATAAAAATAATAAACCAAATACAAATAATTGTTCTCCTTAGTGAAAGGAAGGAAAAATATTGGAAATTGGAAAAAACTTGACCTTGTAATATCATAAAAGCAGTAATTTTTTTTAAGAAATCTTAATTGGACCCAAATCCCAAATTAGGAAACATAGCACTGAGGACAATTATTGACTTTTTTATTTAAATAAATTAAGAGGTTATTACTGATAATATGATTATAAATAGTGATTAAATTAAAATCACAAATGATATAATCTATTTTATCTTAGAATTAAATTAAATTTTCTTCTGTGTTGTGGCATTTTAAGTGAATAAAAAAAACATAGAAGTTGATCAATGAAATCATTTTACTTCAACCATTTTGAAATGCGTTCATCATATAAATAAAAAATAAAATATGCTTCTTATATTTCTTAATCCAAAACTACAAATACAAAACAAACATACTTGAAAGAACAAGAAAAAAGATATTCACGAATACAGCAACATTGATGAACTAGAAGAGATAAGAAGCAACATAAAGGTAAACAAGGTGAAGAACAATGGCTTGTTTAGAAACTCCAGGAACCGAGACTGCAGCAGGAGAAGCAGAAGATTTGTGGTCACTTGGAGTAGAGTCCTCATACGCTATGACTTTCACGATCATCTTCTGTCCCTTTTCACAGTGTCCGGATACTCCACTAATGAAGTAAAAAGACCTCGAATGATCAAACCTGAAGGCTGAGTTGCCAGTGTTGGAGAAGAACTTGGGGTGTGTTGAATTGCAGTTCTTGTACTCTTTCTCTGTCACTTCCATGACTGAATCCTTCTTGTACTTGAAACCTGCACATGGGAAAGCACACAAGAAGATTAAGAAAAAAGGTTACGTTTTGATTCTTGTAAGTGTAAATGAGTGTTTATGTTTGTTTGTTTTACTCACGGATAATGTCACCAACTTGGAACCTATTCTCTGAGGCCCAGTCATTGTAAAATTTGGTGTCATTGGCAGGAGGGACAACCCAGCCTTGGGTGCCGCCGACTTGGAACTCGAGGGAAACTGAGAGATAATAAAGAGAAGAGAAGATGCTGAGAAAGAGAAACATTACATTGACAGAGTTGATGGAGAAATGAGCCATGATTGGCAACTTGGTACGCTCTTGCAGTGAACAAAAACAAAAGGAGATAGAAAGTTGCAGTGAATAAGTTGTTTCAGGACCTGGGTTTTTGTTTTTATAAGGAGCTGCTGAGAGTTAGTTATTTTGAATGTGAAGGGTGGACATGGGAGTAGTGGGGGAAACGGTTGAGGTATAGGGCTCTTTTGACATGGTCAGTTGGGCTAATAGATAGTTAAAATAGGTATCAAAAGCGTTATTTGATAATGATGATGTAGAATCTGCTAAATGTTTGCTATAATCATGGGTCATGGGCTTGACCAACTAGCTTTCTCATCAAACAAAGTCACGGTGGTTTAATACTTTAATTATATGAAACTAAACTTCATTTTCCTTCCTGTTCTTCTCTAATTTGGTATGCTTATCCAAGATGGTGTTTCTGGGAGATTATAAGAATGTTTATTTTCTCAATTTGCAGATCAAAGAATTAATCCAACTGCAAATAAGAGTACCAATTCAACTGCCTAATGCTACAATAAGGATATTGAGAATCCACTGGCTATATTGTATCTGGCTGAAGAGGATGAAATGACAACATGCGGTTACAGTATAAAACACAGTTTGCAAACAAGACGGACCAATAAATAGCTAATTTATTTGTCAATTCATGTTGGTATATATGGCTCAAAAAAAAGGTTAAATTTACAGTTTTACACAGTTGCGGTGATATCTAATGCCAGAAGCTGTACATACAATAAGCATTTTTGACAGTGGGAGGAACTTGCTATATTTCATTCATCTCATGCATTTGTGTTCTTCTCCCCTAGTGCAAGCTACTATAAGAAGACGACAAACAAACATAATCATTCTAGAAATGCATTATTCTCCTTATGTGCCCAGCAACGAGAATATAAGGATGAGAAACGCCATTGACCTTACACTAGCATCCTCATCATACAATGTCAATATCCCTAACAATTGTTGCTGACTCTTGATCAGATCCGGTGTTGCTTGTTATCCTTTTAAATGATTTCTGGATTCGGGCAAATGCACTCTTGGATCTTTGTATTTTCTGAGGTTCATCAGTTAATTTACTGTCACCATTCTTCTTCGCAAGATCTTCTGATAGGGTCTCTATGAGATTCTCAAAATGACGCCGGTAAGTTGGATATCTTGAGATAGATTTGGTGAGTCCTAGCAGCCTTCATTGTAAAATTAAAGGGGTAAATAAAGAAACAGATGTAAATGAAAAGATAATTTACATGGAGCAGATTAACAGATCTCTGGATTCTAGAATGGTATTTGTCAAATGTTTTTCATCATTACCTTCTAGCGAAAGCATCAAGTTCAGCTCGTTTACGCTCAGATTCAGGTGGTGAGCAACTATTTGTGTTTTTCAACCTCACAAGATCACCACACAATAGAATTGATTTGCCTAGGTAGTCCTCTTCTTCCTCCGTAAGGTTTTCTGCTCTAATCTGATCCTTCATTATCAAAAAGGGGTTAAGAAACCAATCAAAGAAGGCATCTTTTGGTTTGTTTGTGCTATTTATCTCACCAATATTGTCGGCTGCATTGGAGATGTAAGAACAAAGCATTATTAGAATTTTGTCAAGATGAACAACATAACTTCATCACAAAAATCCAAAATTTCCCTTTTAAGGATCTTAAAGTGTCTTCTTTATAGACACTCACTCAGCATACACAAGAGAATACCTAGGCGCAAGACAATAAATTCACTTACCTAACAATATTCCAGATGAATTGGCTTTTGCAGAGCGCACAAGTGCCTTAAAAAGGCAATAGGCTGGCAGGCCAATGCTAACCACTCTACTACCACTACTAGATTTGGCTTCTTCAATGTCTTTATCAGTTATTAGTCCTTCAAGAACCATGATTTCCCCATGGCGTTTACACTCCTTCAGTAAGCCCTCAAGAAGCTACAAAATTGACAAAACAAATTTTCAGTGCAGCCCAGACCCATGAGCTAACATTGAAGTTTACAAATTATACAGAATAAAATTATAATGCTGAAAATGTTCAAATTATAAGCATTTTCTTAAGGCCAGACGCAAGATACCTCAAATGGCTTAAATTCAGTCAGAGGCTTGAATGAACCAGAGCGAGACGGAGGATTTTTCAAAGAGTCAGACTTTGAGAAAGAAGTTGTGCGAGAAGTGGTCTGTGACAGCTCTGTCTTCTCTGTCTTCTTTCGATACAGGGGCCTGTCAACAGTAGAAACAAATCAAACTCTGTCAAGTAGCATGAACTAAAACCATAACTTATTAGAGTGCTGAAGTGAACCTAGGAAAGCAGGATCCCTCAGACATGCCAAGTACGTCATTGCTGTACTCGTCATAAATGGAAAAGGAAGCAACAACATAGCAGAGACCGAACCAAAAAGAGGACTCCTGAAATGTAAAGGCTACAAAATCAAATTACATTTTACCAGCAATCTATGTAATAAATCGAAATTTTCATCTCTTAGATAATTTCAAGGTCTCTGGCACAGTGACCAAATATCATAACAATTTAAAGAATGGGATAGGAGGCTTGCATCAATGAATACCGATGTGCATAATTTGAACATGTGCATGAAGAAAACAAGGCTCAAATAAGAGAATCAGCCTGCAATTAATTCCACACTTAGCTTAATTGAAATGATAACATAATAATAATCAATGAAATGAAATGAAATGAAATGATAGTCTACTATGATTGCTGTTGGGAGACAAAATGGTCTGCAAATGTAATTGGCTTCAACAGAAGTCTACAATGCAATTTCAACCATTATACCGTATCACAATAGAAAAAGGGAGGTATTAGAAAATTAAATAAATATAATATAAATATGTAATTTAAAAAAAAAAAAGAATCTAATTGAGTAAAAAAGTGTTATAATGGTATATCATTCACACTATCTTATGAACAGTATTGGTTCATTCAAGTGCTACATTGCGCAAGGGATTCCATATGTCTACAGAAACAGCAATTATAACAACTGCTTTTCTATTTGTAAGACCTATAAGAAGTAATAAAACTAACCAGGCATAAAATTCTAACCTGATAAACAACCACCCCAGCATAAGCACCAAGGAAGATGGTAGACAGAATGGAGCCCAAAACTGCCCCAACAACAGCCAATGGCCAGAGTAGAATGGCAAGACCGGCAAATGGTACACATATAGTCTCTAAAAAGGGACCTTCTCGACCTACAAGGTCATGAAATAATCGATGCCACCCCTTAAAGAGCATATAGGGGCTTTTGCATATGGCAATGGCTGAGATCACTGGAAAATCAACCAGTACACCAAGCACCCCAGCTACGATTGCACCTGGAATATCAAGCAATCTGGAACAGAGTTGATGAAAAAAGTCAGCTAAAACCTTAAAACCCAAAAATGAAAAAAAGAAAGTCATCACAAATGAATAAAAATGACTAAATGAACTGATTTTATGGCTAATGCTCATCATACAAGTTGTTGAGAATTATAAACAGTAATGCCCATTTCATTTTCGCCAATATGGATATAAAGAAGGAAAAATTTTAAGCAGGAAGACTAAACAGCAAACCTTATCTCATAATATTTTCCATCTGCTCTTTTCTGCTGCAGGTCATCCATAACTGAAAAGTATGAATGGAAGCAAACATCAAGAAAATCTCTGACCACAGTGAAGCTGCCTTTTACAGTGCTCCAAGTTCCATCCTGCAAAGGAAGTGATATAAAGTCTCCATCATTCAAACCTACAAGAAGGAAATAATATATACCAAAAATAGTCAAGAGTTTTGATATTCAAGACATACACAAAAACAGTGGAACAAATCATTTTCTTTCCCTTCACCAACAGCATCAAAAGTGGCAAATATTGGCGTAAGAAAGCCATACAGTGCTCCCACTAAGATACTTCCAAGTTCCAACAATGCCAACCACTGGCCATAAAATCAAGAAAACTGGCATGCATATGCAGATTACAAGCTTCAGAACTGGCCCTATTTGTTTAGCTCTCTGCTTGTCAGAAAAATCAACATAATGAGAGAGCAGATAACTAGATATAGTCAACATTGCAAATGAAAAAGTAAAGGATTAAGAAAGAACCTCAAAATGGAATAGTAAGTCCAGAAAACATGTACTGACAAAAGTCCCAATATAATTGCTGAGTTTCCGATTGTCATGATAAGGCATATAAATGGGAAGAAAATAATTCCTGAAAGAGCATTGTGTTAGATAAGAATTACTGTGTTCTACCAAAGTCGGAAAACATCATTTATGCAGCTCAGTGCTTCATCACTGATTGATTTATAAAGAGTTCACAAAGATGCACATTTAACAACTAAATACTCCATAATTATTCTACTTTCTCTAGTACATAGCTTAGAAACCATCTAGAAGACATATTTTTTTGCATCTAAGGTTGGAAACTATCAAAAAACACCTCAGGTGGTTAAAATCTCACATGATATTTATCCATGTAATGGCCAATGCTATTTCAAAGAACAAAATTCATAAAAAAGTATAATCTACAAAAATACAAAAACATATACCAAAATTAAATCTTTTTCAAAATAGAAAACACTGGCTACATTAAAAGCATACTATGTTGATTCAAAATATCCAATTTACCTGATAAATAACTTAGCCAGTTGAGTATAGAAATGGAAGAAAAATAAATAATTAACATAACAAATCATATAGCAGTCAAAAAAAAGGAATAAAATTTGAGAAACACAAACCTTTAATGACACCCAGAAGAAGCAACCCGAAGAAGTAAGGAAGAAAGCAAATAAAGTTCCATAAAGAAGCCAAAAAACCTCTGGGTGGCTCCATTGATTTCTTAACTCGTTAGATCTCTACAAAACTTCACACAGTAAACCTATCTCAGACTCCACGCAAATCAATAAAAGACTCCACTCTGGACCCTTCCAAGCCAGATACACAATCCAAAAACAAAAACCCAATCAGTAAAAATAATTCACTGTTACTGGGCTAAAGAAATGACGACGAAAAAACTGAAAAAAAACAAAAGCAAAGGTTGTTGCTTGTATGGTTTGGAGTACTTTCTGAACGTTGAAGTTTAAATATTTTAAATGAAAATATTAGAAAAAGGTAAAAATAAAAGAAAAAATAATGATATTGGGTTTGTGGACGGAAGGAAAGACGGTTGAAAGAACAGTTGAAGAGGCAATGAAACTGATAAGGAATCTGTCCGATGCAGCAGTTACTTAATGACGATTGGATTGAAAGGAACTATGGAAGTAAGTGGATGAAATACTTTGCTTCCTTGCTTTAAAATTAAAATGCACCAAGTAAAGCAACAAGCTTTCTTTTGAAAAATAAAAATATTCCAAATAAAATCCTCCTACTGTTTTTCTTAAATTTACAACGAATTCATTTCCTATTTTCCCACCAAATCACTCAGGTAGACAATTGGAATCATATACGCACACCAAAAACGAAATTAAAAGATTATATTAAAAAAATATATTTTTATTTAATTAATGTGGATTTGTCTTTTTATAAACTCATAAAGCGGCGAGTGTCTTGATTTTTTCCACAGAAGCGCGTATGACTCAGACCGAGGTCACCCAAAGGACAATCGTTTTGAATTTTGACAATTTTACCACCCGTCGAACGAAACCGAAGACTGTTTAACCATCTTTAATCTTTATACTTTCGGCAACTCTTTACATAGAATTTTCAAGTTTTCTCCACCGTCAAATTCAAGACTAAACGACATATTCTAAGGTTTGGCGAAATCTCCAGTTGATATTCCTGATTATATTTATTTCAGATTCTCACTTTTAAAGTGACAGATAAGTGTTTGATGTAATGATAAAAGGGTAAATTAGTTATTTTGCACAGATGACATACGTTAGTAGATTGTTGCCTCTAACAATTCTCTAGCGCACGTTAGTAGACAACGTCTTCGACGTTTAACACCTTTTTTTCGGTGATTCTTCCACCCAAAATTACTCTTGTCACCACCATTTGAACCTCATCATTCCCTCTACAAAACCTTACCCTTCACAACTCCTCATCACTCGCTGATCGTCGGCCATGGCACCCGCAACATGCGACTGGTTTTTGCCAGTTTCTGGCCGTTTTGAACTGCGATAACCCCAACCACCATCATCATTTGACCCCTCGCATCGTCTCCTACAAAACCCCTAACCTTCCCAACCACGGTAGCTCACCGTTTGCCGCCTACCACTCCACCCAAAAATGGTCGATGAACACGAACTCTCAACCCATGAACGGCTACTAAACAATTGCGGGGAACATAAATGTTTTATAGAGTTGAAGACGCTGGTTATAGTGGTGGTGTCCAATTGGATTTTCGCCACTAGAATCTGGCGAAGAATAGAGAAACCCTAAGCTTAATGGCGTCGGCGATTGGAGGGGCCAATAAGTCAGGAACTAAAGGGGTTTTGAACGAAAAACTACGTGAAAGGTGATGGAGGTGACCAGGGGTTCAACACTGTAGGAAACAACCTAGACAGGCAAAAATCGAGAGGGTATGCAATGATCGAGGGTGTTATTAAGATAATTTGAAAATAAAATGGTAAGTTATAATTCTACTAATTTAGGGGTTAAAACATAATTTATTAATTTAAGGTTAAGGCATTATGGTAATTACACCCTTTATACCCTAAAAATTGCTAATAGTGTTATTTTAAGGGTGAGAATCTGGAATAAATATAACTTGGGATACCAACTTAGGATTTTGCCAAACCTTGGGTGGGAATATGTCGTTTACTCTCAAATTCAAATATAAATATAAATGATAAATCAATTACATATATAAGGCATAAACATGATTGATACGAAAATTGTAGATTTTCTCTTGACTTTGACCTTAATTTCAATATAAACTCTTTAAAATTACACGTGAATTAGTTTTCATAAATATTCTAGTAACGTAAATCTTAGCCGTCATATGGTCAAATATAATCCAACTTTGTAGTATTATTATTATAAACAATATTGTTTTGTCAAAATAAGCCTGAACAACATAACTTCATCACAAAAATCCAAAATTTCCCTTTTAAGGATCTTAAAGTGTCTTCTTATAGACACTCACTCAGCATACACAAGAGAATACCTAGGGCAAGACAATAAATTCACTTACCTAACAATATTCCAGATAATTGCGTTTGCAGAGCGCACAAGTGCCTTAAAAAGGCAATAGGCTGGCAGGCCAATGCTAACCACTCTACTACCACTACTAGATTTGGCTTCTTCAATGTCTTTATCAGTTATTAGTCCTTCAAGAACATGATTTCCCCATGGCTTTACACTCCTTCAGTAAGCCCTCAAGAAGCTACAAAATTGACAAAAAATTTTCAGTGCAGCCCCGACCCATGAGCTAACATTGAAGTTTACAAATATACAGAATAAAATTATAATGCTGAAAATGTTCAAATATAAGCATTTTCTAGGCCAGACGCAAGATACCTCAAAGGCTTAAATTCAGTCAGAGGCTGAATGAACCAGAGCGAGAGGAGGATTTTTCAAAGAGTCAGACTTTGAGAAAGAAGTTGTGCGAGAAGTGGTCTGTGACAGCTCTCTCTCTGTCTTCTTCGATAAGGGGCCTGTCAACAGTAGAAACAAATCAAACTCTGTCAAGTAGCATGAAATAAAAACATAACTTATAGAGTGCTGAAGTGAACCTAGGAAAGCAGGATCCCTCAGACATGCCAAGTCGTCATTGCTGTACTCTCATAAAAGGAAAAGGAAGCAACAACATAGCAGAGACCGAACCAAAAAGAGGACTCCTGAAATGTAAAGGCTACAAAATCAATACATTTACCAGCAATCTATGTAATAAATAAAATTTTCTCTCTTAGATAATTTCAAGGTCTCTGGCACAGTGACCCAATATCATACAATTTAAAGAATGGGATGGAGGCTTGCATCAATGATACCGATGTGCATAATTTGAACATGTGCATGAAGAAAACAAGGCTCAAATAAGAGAATCAGCCTGCAATTAATTCCACACTTAGCTTAATTGAAATGATAACATAATAATATCAATGAAAGAAATGAATGAAGATAGTCTACTATGATGCTGTTGGGAGACAAAATGGCTGCAAATGTAATTGGCTTCAACAGAAGTCTACAATGCAATTCACTATTATCGTATCACAATAGAAAAAGGGAGGTATTAGAAAATTAAATAATAAATATAAATATGTAATTTAAAAAAAAAAAGAATCTAATTGAGTAAAAAAGTGTATAATGGTTATCATTCACACTATCTTATGAACAGTATTGGTTATTCAAGTGCTACATTGCAGGGATTCATATGTCTACAGAAACAGCAATTATAACAACTGCTTTTCTATTTGTAAGACCTATAAGAAGTAATAAAACTAACCAGGCATAAAATTCTAACCTGATAAACAACCACCCAGCATAAGCACCAAGGAAGATGGTAGACAGAATGGAGCCCAAAACTGCCCCAACAACAGCCAATGGCCAGAGTAGAATGGCAAGACCGGCAAATGGTACATATAGTCTCTAAAGGGACCTTCTCGACCTACAAGGTCATGAAATAATCGATGCCACCCCTTAAAGAGCATATAGGGGCTTTTGCATATGGCATGGCTGAGACACTGGAAAATCAACCAGTACAACAAGCACCCCAGCTACGATGCACCTGGAATATCAAGCAATGGAACAGAGTTGATGAAAAAAGTCAGCTAAAACCCAAACCCAAAAATGAAAAAAGAAAGTCATCACAAATGAATAAAAATGACTAAATGAACTGATTATGGCTAATGCTCATCATACAAGTTGTTGAGAATTATAAACAGTAATGCCCATTCATTTTCGCCCATTCAAAGCAATATGGTATAAAGAAGAAAAATTTTAAGCAGGAAGACTAACAGCAAACCTTACTTCATAATATTTTCCATCTGCTCTTTTCTGCTGCAGGTCATCCAACTGAAAAGTAGAATGGAAGCAAAATCAAGAAAATCTCTGACACAGTGAAGCTGCCTTTACGTGTCCAAGTTCCATCCTGCAAAGGAAGTGATATAAAGTCTCCATCATTCAAACCTACAAGAAGGAAATAATATATACCAAAAAAGTCAAGGTTTTGATATTCAAGACATACACAAAAACAGTGGAACAAATCATTTTCTTTCCCTTCACCAACAGCATCAAAAGTGGCAAATATTGGCGAAAGAAAGCATACAGTGCTCCCACTATGAACTTCCAACAATGCCAACCACGGCCATAAAATCAAGAAAACTGGCCTGCATATGCAGATAAGAAGCTTCAGAACTGGCCCTAATCGTTTAGCTCTGCTTGTCAGAGAAATCAACACATGAGAGAGCAGATAAATAGATATAGTCAACATTGCAAATGAAAAAGTAAAGGATTAAGAAAGAACCTCAAAATGGAATAGTAAGTCCAGAAAACATGTACTGGCAAAAGTCCAATATGATTGTGAGTTTCCGATTGTCATGATAAGGCATATAAATGGGAAGAAAATAATTCCTGAAGAGCATTGGGTTAGATAAGAATTACTGTGTTCTACCAAAGTCGGAAAACATATTTATGCAGCTCAGTGCTCATCACTGATGATTTATAAAGAGTTCACAAAGATGCACATAACAACTAAATACTCCATAATTATTCTACTTTCTCTAGTACATAGCTTAGAAACCATCAAGAAGACATATTTTTTTGCATTAAGGTTGGAACTATCAAAAAACACCTCAGGTGGTTAAAACTCACATGATATTTATCCATGTAATGGCCAATGCTATTTCAAAGAACATGATTATAAATAGTGATTAAATTAAAATCACAAATGATATAATCTATTTTATCTTAGAATTAAATTAAATTTTCTTCTGTGTTGTGGCATTTTAAGTGAATAAAAAAAACATAGAAGTTGATCAATGAAATCATTTTACATCAACCATTTTGAAATGCATTCATCATATAAATAAAAAATAAAATATGCTTCTTATATTTCGTAATCCAAAACTACAAATACAAAACAAACATACTTGAAAGAACAAGAAAAAAGATATTCACGAATACAGCAACATTGATGAACTAGAAAAGATAAGAAGCAACATAAAGGTAAACAAGGTGAAGAACAATGGCTTGTTTAGAAACTCCAGGAACCGAGACTGCAGCAGGAGAAGCAGAAGATTTGTGGTCACTTGGAGTAGAGTCCTCATACGCTATGACTTTCACGATCATCTTCTGTCCCTTTTCACAGTGTCCGGATACTCCACTAATGAAGTAAAAAGACCTCGAATGATCAAACCTGAAGGCTGAGTTGCCAGTGTTGGAGAAGAACTTGGGGTGTGTTGAATTGCAGTTCTTGTACTCTTTCTCTGTCACTTCCATGACTGAATCCTTCTTGTACTTGAAACCTGCACATGGGAAAGCACACAAGAAGATTAAGAA